TGTATTTTTTAAATTTTGAATTTCAAAATTTCATAATATAAGCTAACCCAAGAGATAAACAGGATAGAGTGAAGGCAAAACACTCTCAGTATTCTTTCTAGGCTGATGGTACAAGAAGGTCTTGATGTTTTATGGAATCCTGGAATAATCAAATTTAAAAGTTCCTATATGGTAAGAAAACCTATAATGAATCTTGTCCTTTCTTATCTGCCATACTCTAATTAAGTGCATCATTTCTTATGTAGTTTAGAGTTCCCAGAGAGGTAGAAATGTTGAGAACATAACAGAAGGCATTTTTTAGTATTATCAACTCTCCTTGGACTCTATTCCTCCAGGATTCAAGCCTAAAGAAGGAGAGAGGTGGGGGAAGGAAGGAAGGAGAACAAGATTGTGACAAAATGTCAACTGCCACATATTCAGTCATTCTAAAACCTGAAACTAGAAGGTTTAAAGCCAGAAGATTCACTATTGCATGTTCTGAGGTTTTAGCATCATCCTATTTATTTTCTCTCTACTAAATCTTCATAGTGTTTCTTATAAGGACAATTGTAATGATAAATCATTCCTCAGTATTAACTCAGAATATCATAATGCTACTTCTGCTGTTTTGTATCATGTCACAGTGGTTTCTCTATAACATATGACAAAAATGTCTTTCTTTTTGACTCTATAAGAAAAAACTGGCCATTAACTTGGAACTTCAGTAAGGCATTTAGCAAGGTCTTTCATAATCTCCCATGGTCAAAAAGAAAAATATAGGCTGGATGACTGCACAATTCACATGATTCATAGCTGGCTGAAACAACAACATATGCCAAAAGGTGCTAATTAATGGACTAATATCAAACTGAAGGAGCTTTCTAGACGTTCTACATCACTTGACCCTTTGCCCAGTACCAAATATATGGGTAATATCTAAGTGTAGTAGAGCACAGAATCAGAACTCAAAATATTAAAACAGGATGAAGTAATAGGACAAATCTAATGAGATTAACTTAAATGGGATAATATGAAGTTCTGTATTTTGGTCTAAAAATATCTTTACTGCTGAAGAATAAGATGCACAAAATTATCATTATTTTTTGGTACCAGGGATTGAACTCGGGACCTTTTACTTGCAAGGCAGGAGGCGGAACCACTGAGCTAAATCCCCAGCCCACAAAATTTTGTCATAAGGATAACAGCATGTGAATATAGCTGTTAAAGCCAGTCCATTAAATGCCAGGCAGCATTGTAAGAAGTAGGTATTTGTTAGGTAGTGGAAAGAACATTAGATTTGGCATCAAAACATTGGGTCAAGCCCCAGTTCTGTTACTTTGGCCCTTAAACTCTTTGATCCTTACTTTCTTCTCAGTGTTGTGAAGTTAAAATGCATTACCTTGTCTAAGTTCCAAGTACTTGTGCTCAATAAATATGACCTAGAAAGGTTACCCTTCACAATAAAATAGGTGGTTTTGCCACTCCATTTTTTTCCCAGAAAAGATGGTAATTGGAATGAGTTCCAGTTGCTACACATGCAAGCAAACTGGAGCTGCTTCCAAAGACAATGACCAGAATGGATGAGTAACTCAAAGGAGAACATGAAGAATTGCTTCATGAACTGAGGAGAACTGACTTGAGGAAGAGTGGATTCAAGGAAGACTATATCTACCTTCAAGCATCTGATAATGCCTTTCATGGCTTTCTGGAGAGCTTCAAAGCAGTAAAAGTAGTACAGGAGGATGGAAAATACAAGAATGTGGGTTAGGGTGACCACTTGGTAGGGGTGTTGTGAGTGATTTCAGGATAAGTGGATGGTCAAATTACAAGGCCTTTAACAGGACAGTCTGATTGTTATACTTCCAAGACACTTTTCACAAAGTGATTTTTTTCTAAATTCTAGATCAAAGTAATCCAGGATTTCCACCCTCTTGTGTTGGCTGGTTGCTAGCCTTAAAATACCACCTTCTCTTCAGCTCTAGGCCAGACCTATTTCTCCCATCTGTCCTCTCCCACCAGTTTCTTCTAGTTGCCTACTTTGTTTAGGATTTTCAGGTCATGGTCAAAGTGTCATTTTAGGGGTAAACTGTGGACTTTTGCGGGGAGAAAAGCCAGGCATGTACAGTGAGAAGCAGAATCTAAGAGCTCCTGAAGTGCCATCTTTCCCCAAACTATATAAAGAGACAGAAGAGAAGGGGTAACCTGTGGATATTTTTGTGGTAGTAGGGCAGTCAGGCCTAAGAGCTCCTGAGTTGGAGCTGTGAAAGAAGTGGGGCAGGTACACAACCCGAGGCCAGGCTTTTAATGAGAATTGGTATACTGGTTAGAAAGTCTTTTGGCCTGCTACAAGTACTCCAAAGTAACTTGTTCAACGGACACCTTCCCGTTTGCTTGAGGCAAAGTGAGTCCAGGGCAGATTGCTCAGCACCTCCAGCCGTTCCAGATTGCGATAGGGAAGCTTCCAGGAGCAACCTGAGTGGCTGTCCATCTCCTTCCCTGCCTGACCCAGTCCGTTCTACTCTTATGTGACCCCAGGGAAATGTGTTTTTTTTGTTTTTTTTTTTTTCCACAGCCTAGCGAGGAGGAACACTGGCTGCTGGCTGGTTGCCGGGGACAAGGCCGCCAGATCGGCTGGGCTGGGGTGAAAGAGGATGCTGCGGGGAGGGGTCTGTGGCTTCTGACTGGCTGGGGCACAAAGGCTAATTTGCATAATAATCTCTGACGGTTTGTGATTGGCTAAAGTCAGAAGGGTGGCGGTGGGGTGATTCCAAAGGCTCTGAGCTCTGGCCCTCGGACCTTTTTGCTCTGGAGTTACCCCGGTGGGTGTGAGTTGTTGCGTGGCCCCCAGGGAGCCGGGAGGCCGGGTTTGGGAAGTTTCGCAGGCAGGTGCATGAGCCATCTTTCTTTGATAGGCTTTAAGAATGAGCAAGAACAGCGGCCGGGAGTCAAGAAACTTGGAGAACCAGTCTGGACAGAAGGAAAGAAAAACGGATCAGGAGAGGGGTGGAGACCAAAGCGGAAGGAGTTCCGGGCTTTCTCCTAAACCGGGCTTTTTGTCAGGGCAGAGTCCCTTTGCCAGATCACTTGGCTCTTCTTTTTCACGAGTTATTAGTCATACTCCTTTGGAACTGGGTAGAAAAAGAGGCAGAATCCCACCATTTAATAGCTTGAATATGAATACTGAGTTTTCACCAGGGCTTAATATAACTTTAAAATACCAAGGGAGTCAGGGATGAGGACAAAGTATATTTTGATTTGTGATCAACTACGGATACTGGACATCTGCTTTTCTTGAGTTTTCCTCCTGTAGTGAATACTCTCAATCTCACTGGGTAAAACCAGCTTGGAATATTTTATACTCCTAGTCTCTAAGCACGGCCTCTGGTGGGGGTGGGGGTGTCTGCAGCTCACTGTGGCCCGTTTCCACATTTTTAAGGTTTTTATTTCATCACATAGACGCCTCTAGACTATGAGGTCCTATACTGAGTAAATTATTCCTTGTAAAGTACTTTACAATTTATATAATTATTTTTACATCCATTATCTAATTTGCCCTTAACTAAAATCCTTGGCACAATCCATGCAAGTAGCGCCATTTTATTGATAAGGAAACAGGTTGGAAAAGTTTCTAAGTCTATGAATTCAAAAAGGAGGGATGGAATTACTGTAATACTTCAAATTTATGTAACGCTTCTTCCTCTACATTCTTAGCATTGATCTCTCAAAATAGGATGAACAAGTAACATCTCAGTTTTACAGATAAGAAGAAAAGGGCTACGTTCTATAGTTAATAAATTGGGGCACGGGTGGGAGTGCCCTAGAATGGGCCCTAAGAGTCACCATTGAATTTTGTTTTTTGTTAGGCCTTGTTCCAAGTCAGCCTTTCATTCACAATACAGTTAGGAAGATAGCTTGTCCTGGAAAATATTTAAGTACAGCTCCTTAAAGTATATAGGTCGTTAAAGTGAAAGAAACCTGGATGTTACATGCTTCTCGTTTCTGACACTTCGCTCCGGAAAATACTGTAGTAATACCCCCCCCCCCCATATTTTAGAGGAAAAGGATTTAAAATTAGAAGCTTGAGTCATAATTATCTGTAGGACTGTCTGAGAAGATTGGTGGGTAAGGGACATGGCAAGGAAGTGAGATGAGAAAACTAAAAGGGGCCGTGGTTTGGAAGTCTCAAAGTGAAATTTAAGGTGTAAATCTTTAAAGTTACGTCCAGGGATTTGGTGCCTAGATTAGGTTCTATTAAATGATCCTATGTTTAAAGACTAGCCTTTTAAAAAGAACACCGCACACACAAAGTTTTTGAATACACATCCCTACGTTTCTGTTAAACGATGAAAGACACGTAACAGGAGACTTAACTACTGTAGCCCTCTCCTAGCCTTTTGCCAGCCAAAAGACCACAAGGCCTGGTTGGGATTTCCAACATAATTTCTCTCCATTCCCACCTTCTGCTCTCTGGAAAAAAAATTGTAGATCTGATGGTAAGTCGCTCTTCACTCCTGGCAGCGATCTTAGGAAAATTAAGGAAAGGCGCTGCCTGGAGGAAGGCAAAAGCCTGTGATCTCCCTTCCCCCAGCTGCTGACCAAGCGCTGGGCCAGGGCTGGAGCACTACGCGTCCACGTGCGCCCGGCATGTCCAGCTTACATAAGGGTCCCGGGATGGAGTCGGGGCAGATGCTGGTCCCTCTTCCCTGATGGCTAATAATAAACCGTGGCTTCAGCTTCCTTGCTGCGGCCATTCTGGATTCAGGGTGGAGGGGCTCACTTTGCAACCCAGACACGTGCATTCCGGTCATTCCACCCTGGGAGCGCGCTCCAAGCCCGCCTACCCATCCCCGCGCCAGCCCGCCCTCTGGGGTTGGGACGCCGGCCCCTTCAGAACCCGCGCAATGCCTGGCCCTCCCCAAACCGGCTTGCCCTGAGCTTGGCGCTGGCTGGGCGCGGCTGTTCCATCCCTCTCTGCCCTGTCCTGCCCCGGCGCCCGCCCTCTGCCCGGGTTTCAGGCGAGAGGCGGAGCTGGTCTGGCGCGCCCCGCCCCAGCTGTAGAAGGGGCCGGGCCAGTGTTACTCGCGGCCCTCTGGGCTGGGGCCTTTTATCTAGGCGCTGCTGGGGGAGGCTGGAGGAGGAGACACCGGGGGTGGCCCTGGGCACCGGCGACATATTTCCCGGACTATAAATTGAACACCTGGGATGGGTAGGGGGCCGACGCAGACACCGCCTCCCGCAGTCACACTTCAGCCACTGACCACCGCAGTGCCCTTGGGGGACAGCAACTGCTGGCAGAGAGAACAGTGAGCTGCCAAGGAGCAGGGGATCTCAAGACCAAAGAGGAGGTGGGTGCCCCTCCCCATCCGTCCAGGCCAGCATGGTTGATTGAGCTCAGGCTTTTCGGAGGGAGAGGTGGGGGTGAGGGAGAAGATCCCCTTTGCTCCGAGGCCCTCTTCTGAGAGGTGTAGAGGTAGGACCGCCTGGTCTCGGGAAGCACCCCGACGCCATCCCTTGCTATCAGTAGCCCGGGAGGGAGGAGCATGCGGGTAGGGGTGCTGAGCAGCCTAATGGGGTGAGCAATCTCTTCTTTCCTCCCTGTCTCCTAACCAGGCCGAGGCTCGACCCACCACCGTCGGGAGCTTCCGGACTTCCAAGGGAGAGAAGCCGCTCGACACGCAGGGCCGGGCTGCCAGCGAGAGGAGAGTTGGAGAGGGCGTAGGAGGAGTCGGGAATCCTGCCTCAGCTGCTATAACCAGGCTCCCGGTGCAGGCCTCGCCTCGGAGAGCGCGTGAAGGCGGGCACCCCCAAGTCCGGGCCGACCACCTTTTGCCCCTGTGCCCCTGTGCTTTGGCTTCCCGGCAGCTGTCATGATGCAAATCTGCGACACCTATAACCAGAAGCACTCGCTCTTTAACGCCATGAATCGCTTCATTGGCGCCGTGAACAACATGGACCAGACGGTGATGGTGCCCAGCCTGCTGCGCGACGTGCCCCTGGCTGAGCCTGAGCTAGACAACGACGTCGGTGTGGAGGTAGGCGGCAGTGGCAGCTGCTTGGAGGAGCGAAGTCCTCGGGCTCCCAGCCCGGGCAGCGCCAACGGCAGTTTTTTCGCACCCTCCCGGGACATGTACAGCCACTACGTGCTGCTAAAGTCCATTCGCAACGATATCGAGTGGGGAGTCCTGCACCAGCCGCCGTCCCCGCCAGCAGGTAGCGAGGAGAGCAACGCCTGGAAGTCCAAGGACATCCTCGTGGACCTGAGCCCCTTGGAGAGCGAGGATGCCGGCGAGGAAGACCTGGAGCAGCAGTTCCACTACCACCTTCGCGGGCTGCACACTGTGCTCTCCAAACTCACCCGCAAAGCCAACATCCTCACCAACAGATACAAGCAGGAGATCGGCTTTGGCAATTGGGGCCACTGAGGCGGTCCGCCTGTGGCTCCCCAGCACCCTCTTGGGCGTCTCTCATCCTCTTCTTTCCTCAAAGCTATTTTCTTCCTGGCTGTGGGGCGCGAGGGGCAACTGCAAAGTTGGGCTGTGTATGTGCAGGGGACTCGGGGAGTATGTGGAGGAGAGGGCCTCCTCAAGAAGAGGAAAGTTCTGGTGGGCGGGGGGGGGGCTCGAGGATCCCCCCCCCCACGAGAGGACTGTATTTGTATTGGTAGGAATGGGACTGATCTGATGCCCCACATTCAGCCTGTGCCTTTCTTGGTGTTTTTTTTTTTTTCTCTTCTAATTTCTGGAGGTAAAGGACCTGAGAAAGGGGCCTTGCCAGGGCGGGGCGCTGGGTTGCCACAGTTGAGATCACAGCCCGAAGCCTGGTGCTGGGGAAGGCGGGGAATGCAATCTCCTGCCCGCCCTGCTGTTGAGCCGGCTGAGGCCCTGGTGTTGCTAGGATTTCGTCAGTTTTCCTGTTTGCACTATTTCTTTTTGTAACAGTGGCCCTGTCTTAAGTATTTCAAATCCCCTCCTTGCTCTGAAACTTAAGCGATTCCATTGTGATAAGCGCACAAACAGCACTGTCGGTAACCGGTACTACTTTATTAATGATTTTCTGTTACACTGTACAGCAGTCCTATGGCACCCTACCCCATCCCTTTCACAGGATCCTGCCCCCACTCCAGTGTGTGTGAGCTGACAGTGCACCGCCTTGTACGAAACTTGTATGAAGCCTGCCACTCAGCCAGTGAAAAATAATAACGTTATGAGAAAGTGGATTCATCAGAAATGGAACCAACTGACATTCTATCTGTGTTGTACATAGAATGATGAAGGGTTCTACTGTTGTTATGTCTTAAATTTATTTAAAATGTTTTTTAATCCAGATGTAGATTTATTCTAAAAATAAAAACGTGTTAACTAAACTGGACAAGAATTTGTTGCTTTAATCTGCCAGCGAATGGCTTAAACATTAAATAAAAATAAATTTTTTTCCACCAAAGGTTAATTTTATTTTTCTCTTTGGTATTCAAGGTGGATATTCATCTCTGCGAGTATTTAGTTTTGTTTGGAACATAGCTATTGATGAGACTTACTCCCAGGCTTTATTTCTAATTAAGTACCAAAAGAGGATTATACACCTCAACAAAACAGTTCAAAGTATTTGGGAAGTTCCAAATATGGTAACTTTTAAAAAATTTGGCATGCTTATAGGAGTTCTTCATTAACATTTTGAATTTTTTTAAAGAAACTCAAACACAAGCTGAGGTTTTGAGGCATAAAAGTACACTAAAGGCTGAAATTTCACCTGACCATTGAGAAGTAAAAATTTGCAAAGAAATAGCAGCTAATACTAAAGGACACATCTTGCAAGATCTTTGAAAGATGTGTTGACCTTAGGAAATAATGTATTGTAACATGGGTAATGGGGTAATGCCAGTTTTCAGTAGTTCTCAACAAAGTGCTAAGCTTTGTGGAGAAGTGTCCAATATTGCAGTTTTCAGTGACCCAGTCTGCAATTGTACACAGCACATCTGTTCAAGGCTGCCATAGGGCCCTTAGGTATGATTTTTAGATACCTTTATGATGCTCTACAGAGACGGTGGGCCAGGCAAAATGCAGAGCTCTACATTTTCTTTATTTCATTATTTGTGTTGAGATAAATGTCAAATCAAGTTCAGTTTTCAATATTGAAACCATGGGGCATTCTCTGAACACAGGGCATGAATTTTAAATCCGTATAACTTTACAGTTTAAAAAGATGAGCATGTGAGCCTGTGTGCGCATGTGTGTGGTTCAGAAGAGGCAGCTCTTCTATTATCAGCTTTTTGCAGCAGTGAAAAAAAATGAAGTCTCAAGACTGGGTTGCCTGGCAGTTACCAGAGAAAGTTAATCATTAATATACAAAGATAAAGCTGGGCAGCGCCAAAAATAAAGTAGGCAGCCTCTTGCTTTGTGTTCCCTTTAAAATATCAAAGGGCAGGCAAAAATGTAAAGGAATCTACTAAAGCCACATGGTAGAAAGAAACACAAGGACGTTGGATCCAGAAAATTGTGTATACAAACCCTCTTGTTACCACTTAGTGTGTACTTAAATCTCCTAGCCTGTTGCCACATTTGAAATCAGGCATAATAATTCAAATGCTTACTTTATGGTGTTCCACTGAGAATGATATGAGATGATATACATATAGAGTGTTTGACACCTAGAAGTTTCTTAAGGTACTCTTCTACTCTAGACATTGGTTACGTCTCCATTCCCTCCTCCATGAAAATATGAGGCTTTGGATAATATGTCCACTTTCATTTCTATTACATATATGAAATTATAGTTAAACTATTTCCTTAAGGTCATGAGGAGGAACCTGAATTAATACCAAAATTAAAATGACAGCAAAACCTTTGAGATGTTAATAGCAAGTTGTATTCAGAAAATTCTGGTGATATATAGAATACAGAAATGTAGATGTAGCTAGCAAAACTAAATCATGAGTTATCAGTTACTATATTTTTGAAAATACTGCTTCATGTAATTGTGTTTTTACACAGAAATAGTGATTCTGACCTAGAAATAATGATGCTTACAGTTACAGAGCAGTAAACATTTAATGACCCAGGAAGGTTTCCTAGGCTTAGTACTATTCCACTGGAAGTATTTTAGTCAAGATCAATTTATAAAAACAAAACCAGGACAAATCTCCAAGAAGATTTAAACTTCTCAAGCTATTTACAAATGTGCTCAATTTCTGAGGCAAAGTAATAAGTGAAAAGTCTTTGGGAAGTTGAATATATTGTGTGGCACTTGTCCTCAGAGGGCTCTGGGAGAGAAAAGCTGTTCCACAGTGGCCCATGACAGTTCGTGACTGAAGGGAGCGTCAGATAGATGAACTGTACAGAAAGGAACAGCTCTGATTGCATCGATTACCTTCCAGATATTTACATTTGATAAGAATTTTCTACATTAAAACCTCACATTGTAGCTTTTGAGAAAGCCTGGTTTTGCTCACACAGAGATATTCACATTTAGTATTTGCACAATGTTCCTTGGTGATTTGGCCTAACTTACTCTCTCTGAATGAGAACACAATTTGTTAGCATGGCACTGAAGCTGAGATTATTATATTTTGGAACAATTTGAAAGCTAATCTACTGTTGACAGATTTTTAAAAGATGAAAATGATTGTCATTTGCTTATGCCTCATCATTTGCCCTTATTTTTAGTTGCTGGACATAAATCATTTGGGAAATAATCCCCCTTCCCCTCCTTTCCTCTTTTTTTGTCTCTCTCTTCTACTGGAATTAAGGCTCAAACCTTATACCATCTATTTCTCTAAAAAGGCATTTATCTTTGTGTGGGTCATCTAGTAAAAAAATTTTTTTAAACAACCATTATATCCTTGTGTGACTTATTTTAAAGAGGTTTGGATAAAATAATGAATGACAGAAGGAATGTTTCCTCTAAAATTTTGGAGGTAACTTTTTTGCTCCCAACTAATGAAAAAGTTTGGAAGTTATTGGAAATTTTAAAAACGTGAGATGTTGGGTTGGTCTTTTAAAATTAAATACAGTCTTTTTAAAGTTTAAAACTTTATGTAGTTTCGGGCCAAAGATTAATTGCTTTAATTACCATGATAACTTAAACTAGAAATGATTTTTTTCTTTTAAAGTCAACTCCGTTAAAAAATAACTCACGGAAATTTAAAGGTTGTTCTTGAGCTACTCCAGACACTTGACTTGGCCACTAGTTCATTTGTAGCCATATAGAACTTTCTGACAGAAATAAACATGATGATAGTCTAGTACCAATAGCCATTCCTATCTCAGGAAGCCAGTAGCATCCTTGGGCTCACACAGCCATTGGATCATACCCTGGGCCTCCACTGCAGAGGACCTTCTCTCTGTCCTAAGGCTTTGACACTCCTTCATGGAGCCAAGAGCTTGTGAATGCCCAGAGCTTGTGCCTCTACTTCTAAACCACACTATGGGTATCTGGACTTCCAGAGTTTCCTATCCAAATGGCCCTGAGCACATTCCAGGGACCTCATAGGCACTTGCCCTGGAGTTTTCCTTCCAATAGTTGATGGGTTGTTGATGTGTACATTGCTAGGCCTGAGGCTTGGTGGGGGACTGTGGATAGGTCTTGGACATGCACAGTGGACTTTCCATAAATTTGCACGTAAAGCCTTTTGCAGTTCAAGACAGAGCTTGAATGGGAAGGTAAATTAGTGGAGGATCCAGTTGCTCTCCTGTCCTGCTTCTCTGGCTTTCAGGACACATGAAGGATCTGAAGACAATAGAAAGGAAATAAATGGGTGACTATAGGAAGATCATGAGTTCAAGCCCAGTCTAGGCAACTTAGTGGCTTAGAGTGACCCTGTCTAAAAAAAAAATGAAAAGGTGCTGAGATGTAGCTCAGTGTGAAGGCCCTGGTCTCAATCCATAGTTACCCCTCCCCCCACTAAAAAAGGAAAGTAAAAGCAGCTCAAGCTTTAAGGTCTCTTCTGGTTTCAAATGAGGATTCTATAGTTTTTCTCCCCATTTCCACATTCCTCATGCTCCACTGAATAGTGGTATCTACTTAATGAAATTTGAAGTAAGGAAAAACAAAAAAAATATCTGTACACAGAACTCACCCAGCTGCTTGCTATTCAGTGCTTTGGTGGTGGCAGATAAGCTATGGCAGCTTCAGTAGAAGATTTCACCTCACTTGTATTTCATTAGCTGTTTTCTGTTTTAGCTTTTTGGTGAAGTTAAAAGAGAAAACAAATAGTCGTGCATCTGTCTAAATGAGACAGGCTAAAACCACAACTAGCTCCTCAGTCCTTCCTGTTTTGGCATTCTCTATTTTTAAAAGGAGTATTTTTGTACCTTTTAATGCTTTTTCTTACATTTTATTACTTCCTTCAATTTTTTGCAGAGTCCTTTGCCTTGCAGTTTTAAAAAATATATGTGCTAGTGCACCCAACTTCAAACTGGTAAGAATTTGGATTGGAGAATGTCCTTGTCACCTGGTTCTGAACAGGGTTATACATAATCACTTTCGGACCTTGAACTGTCTGGAGAAAGTGGTTTCTAACATAGTAGAGATAAGAAAAGGAGGAAAATACTAGCAAATCAGAAGCCTGCTCTCTATTTTAAGTAGCTCTATAAACTAAGTTGGGGCTGGGGTGTAGAATCTATTTTATTTTTATATCAATCTAACTAGTGTTGATATGTGCACTTCTATCATGGAGCATTCAGTTAACAGGATGAAACTGGACATGATTCATTTGATGTCTTCAAAGGTAAAAACTAACTTTGTAGTTCCCCCCTCTTTTGAATACCACACTGCTGAGGTAAAGAATGTTGTAGCTTGTGGGTGAGCTCAATAAGTCCAATTAAAACCTGACTACTCTTCCACCATGTTGAAATACCTGACCAAACTTGCTGTGTCCTTGGATAATGGTCCCCCTTTTTTTCTTCTTAGCAGACATCTAATTGTGGAGATTTTCTGTTTGGTAGTCAAGGAAAGATGAAAATGAAAGTATAGTGTTGTTGATTTCTAATCAGTTTGTTCACGTGCAATATTAATTTTAAGCCCTGAATTTTAAAAAATGAAACATATATATTGCAAATGAACACACGTTTCACAGCAGCCAAAGTATGTGTGGAATGAAAAGAATGCAGTTAGTGCAGATTAGTCATTCAAAAGAAGGTCTAGGATTTTATGATGTCTAATTGACATTGCAGCTTTTGACTCATGGATGTTTGGGGGTATAATTTTGTTTCTGTTGTGATAAGTACTTATTGATAGTTCCTTCATAGTTTAAATGTTTAGGTGGAACAATATCAGAAATTTAGATGGTTAACCCGGATGTTGGGGCCTGAGTGGACTCTCAGAAACCAGCAACCTTTCCCCTTAATGGGATTTGGACCTGAAGAAAGA